TTGGCTTGTGCCTTGCCTTGCCTTGCTTTGACTTGACTTGTGTGTTGATTTGCCTTCCCTTGTTACTTGCCTTCCCTTGGCTTGTGCCTTGCCTTACCTTGCCTTATGCCTTCCCTTGCCTTGTGTCTTGATTTGCCTTGCTTTGCCTTGTGCCTTGCCTTGCCTTGTGCCTTGCCTTGCCTTGTCCCTTGCCTTGCCATTCTTTGTCTTCCTTGCCTTGCCTTGCCTTGCCTTGCTTTGTGCCTTGCCTTACCTTGTGTTTCTCCTTGCCTTGTTCCATGCTTTACCTTGCCTTGCCTCGCCTCGTGCCTTGCTTTGGCTTGCCTTGACTTGGACCTTGCCTTGCTGTGCCTTGCTTTCTGCCTAGCCTAGCTTAGCCTTGCCTTGCTTTTTGCTTTGCCTCGCCATTCCCTTGTGCTTTGCCTTGGCTTGCCTTGCACATTGCCTTGCCTTGCCTTTTGCCTTCACTTGTTTTGCTTTGTGCATTGCGTTGCCTTGCTTTGCCTGGTCCTGTGACTTGCCTCGTGCCTTGCCTTCCCTTTGCTTGCCTTGTGCCTTGCCTTGCCTTGCTTGTGCCTTACCTTGCCTTGTGTTTTACCTTGCCTTGTGCCATGCCTTGCCTTGCCTTGGCCTTGTCTTGCCTGGCTTTGCCTTGCCTTGTGCCTTGCCTTGCTTTGGCCTTGCCTTGCTTGGCTTTGCCTTGACTTGTGCCTTGACTTGTCGTGCCTTGTCTTGTGCCTTGCATTGCTTTGCCTTGTGCTTTCCCTTGCCTTGCGTTGTGCCTTGATTTGCCTTGCGTTGTGCCTTGCCTTGCCATCCCTTGTATCTTGCCTTGCTTTGCCTTGCCTTGTAACTTGCCTTGTCTTTTGCCTTGCCTTGCCTGGCCTGGCCGTGCCTTGTCTTGCCTTCCCTTGTGCCTTGCCTTGCCTTGTGCCTTGCCTTGCCTTGCCTTGCCTTGTGCCTTGCCTTGCCTTGTGCTTTGCCTCTCCTTGCTTTCTGCCTTGCCTTGCCTTGCCTTGTGCCTTGCTTTGCCTTCTACCTTGCTTTGTGCTTTGCCTTGTGCCTTGGCTTGGCTTGGATTGCCTTGCCTTGCACTTTGCATTGCCTTGCCTTGTGCCTTGCCTTGTCCCTTGCCTTGTCTTGCCTTGCTTTGTGCTTTGCCTCTCCTTGCTTTATGCCTTGCCTTGCCTTGTGCCTTGCTTTGCCTTCTACCTGCCTTGTGCTTTGCTTTGCCTTGCCTTGCCTTGTGCCATGCCTTGCTTTGCCTTGCCATGCTTTGTGCCTTGCCTTACCTTGTGCCTTGCCTTGCATTGCTTATCCTTGGCTTGTGCCTTGTATCGCCTTGCCTTGTGCCTTGCCTTGCCTTGTGCCTTGCCTTGCCTTGCCCTGTGTGTTGATTTGCCTTGCCTTGTTTCTTGCCTTCCCTTGGCTTGTGCCTTGCCTTGCCTTGTTTGTGCCTTGCCTTGCCTGTGCCTTGCCTTGTTCCTTGCCTTGCCTTGTGCCTTGCCTTGATTTGGCCTTGCTTTGCCTGACTTTGCCTTGCCTTGCCTTGCCTTGCCTTGTCTTTGCCTTGCCTTGGCTTGCCTTGCCTTGTGCCTTGCATTGCCTTGCCTTGCCTTGGGCCTTGCATTGCCTTGCCTTGTGCCTTGCATTGCCTTGCCTTGCGCCTTACATTGCCTTGCCTTGCGCCTTACATTGCCTTGCCTTGCGCCTTACATTGCCTTGCCTTGTGCCTTGCCTTGCCTTGTAGCTTACCTTGGCTCATACCTTGCCTTGTCTTCCTTTGCCTTGATTTGCCTTACCTTGTGCCTTGCCTTGCCTTGGCCTGTGCCTTGCCTTGGCCTGTGCCTTGCCTTGCCTTGCCTTGCCTTGCCATGCCTTGTCTCTCCTTGTATTTCCTTGCCTTGTGCCTTGCCTTGTTTTGTGCTTTGCCTTGTCTTGTTTGTGCCTTGCCTTGCCTGGTGCCTCGCTTTGGCTTGCCTTGACTTGGGCCTTGCCTTTCTGTGTCTTTCTCTTTGCTTTGTTTTGACTTGCCTTGCCTTGTGCCTTGCCTTGCCTTACTTTTTGCTTTGTCTTGCCATTCTCTTGCACCGTGCCTTGCCTTTTGCCTTCATTTGCCTTGCTTTGTGCTTTGCATTGCCTTGCCTTGCCTGGTGCCTTGACTTGCCTTGTGTCTTGCATTCCCTTGGCTTGCCTTTTGCTTGCCTTGCCTTGCCTTCTGCCTTGCCTTGCCTTGCCTTGCCTTCTGCCTTGCCTTGCCTTGCCTTGCCTTGCCTTGTGCCTTGCCTTGCCTTCCCTTGCCTTGGTATGCCCTGCACTTTGCATTGCCTTGCTTTGCCTTGTGCCTTGCCTTGCTTTGTACATTTCCTTGACTTTCTTTGTGCCTTGCCTTGCCTTCCCTTCCACCTTGTCTTGCCTTGCCTTGCTTTGCCTTGCCATGCCTTGTGCCTTGCCTTGCATTGCTTTGACTTGCCTTGCTTTGCCTTGGTCATTGATTTGCCTTGCCTTGTTACTTGCCTTCCCTTAGCTTGTGCCTTGTCTTGCCTTGCCTTGTGCCTTGCTTGTGCCTTGG